GCGAAATCAGTTTGTTTCTTGAATTAAGCAGTAAACTTGGTAGCTCAAGTGCATTTGAATGGGATAATTACCTTAAGAGCTGATTAAAACAAAATTTAAAAATTTGAATGCTGTGATCTTTTGTAACCTTAAACCTAAAACATTCGAGTTTTAATCAGCAAAAGTTTGAGACAAACTATTTGAAAGTCATTTACAGCAGCATACGCACGCCAATCTAGGACTATAGAGTGACTCAAGTCATCCGCCCTCAGCAAAACGTGGTATTTTCACAAACACACTTGGCCCCGGTTGCTCAAAGGGTGGCTAACACTAACCACTAGATAAATCTGTATTCAGTGTACAGCGCAGTACGTTTTGTTAGCGCTTATCCGCTGGATATCGATTTATCCGTTGGTTAGCGTTATCTGCCCTGATGAAGGCCCACGGCCCAGTACCGAGTATAAACCTTGGGATAAGCATCTTAAGCGACCAAACCGTACTACAAACGATAAAACCTTAGCCATTGTCATTTCACAGGATGAAATTACACCCAAATTCGAATTTACATGCTATATCCTATAAAACTTTAAGAAAAGACTATTAGTGGAACAACCGGACTCCCACTTTTCCTCTCTCCTATGTAATCGGCTAAGCGCTTAATACATAGTCTACTGTTGTAAAGTAAATTATAATATCAGTCAAAATCAGCCTCACTAATACATCGGCTGGTTGCCTTCCAACGATCCATACACCACCACAGTTGAAATCTGTGGCCCCACGACTACCGTTTGTGTCCAACGACGACATTTTTTGTTCCTGTTTTTGACAACTTCAGCTCTTCGTTCGCGGAATTCTATTTCCGCATTATCAACCCGTTCGTTGTCATCCCCACAGAGTGAAACTCATTGCTCCACTATTTTGCCCAGATGCAGCAATGAAAGGTTTTGCTATAATCCCCGCGTCAAGTTGGGTTTCATTGTTCATTGTGAAGAAGAGGCAAAGCCAGACAGCAGGAGAAGGACAATTGTAGGTTTTTGCACCTCTCCTCAAATTATTCAACGTTTTCTTCTTCAATTATTGAATTTCTGAATTCTACAAAAAAGTTTGTTGGGTGTAAAAAGTTGAGCGAGGTTTCGAGTTAAGTCTTTGCAAGTACACAGGATTTGGACGTTTTCATCGTAAATTGCAAAACAGAAACCAAGAAAGAAAAAAACCTAAACAAGCACACAAACAAAGTAAAAGCCGTGCGAAATATTCTCGTGTCTAGTAAAAGTAGCTCGCTCGACTGCATGTTTTCGGTACAAGAAGGACAAGATTTTTACACCTGCCATAATCCAGATTACGGCAAACAGATCCAGAGACACCAGTGAAAAAATATAAACAAAAACAGCAGCTCAACAGATGGGCAGATTATTTCGAGGAGTTACTCAACAGACCAAGTCTAGTAAAACATTCCGCACATTCAGCCAGCAGAATACAACCTTCCGATAGACTGCAGAAAGCCAACCAAAGAGGAGGTTAAGACGCCTTTCAAGCTTCTAAGAAACGCAAACGCTTCAGGACCCGACGGAATACCAGCAAAAGCACTGAAGGCATAGAGGAAATTCTATACCCCTTGTTTGAGAAGATCCGAGAAGAGGAAAAAGTACCTACAGACTGGAAGGAGGGATATCTTGTCAAATTACAAAGGAAAGGAGACATCAGCAACTGCTCCAACTACAGAGGAATAGCACTTCTCTCCGTGCCTGGAAAGGTCTTCAAAAGAATCATTCTAGGGAGATTAAAGAACGAAATGGACCCAAAACTGAGAGACCAGCAAGCAGGCTTCCGAAGGTACAGATCATGCGCTGATCACAGAATGTTGGCGTAATTACGGCCCTAAATTATTCGGATTAATAGGTTGCTACTTATGCTGGGCAATAGGTGCACTGTTGAAAAATCAAAAGTTTAGGCTACCAGAGAAATTGTTGTAGCAAGTTAGAGTTAGGACCAGAAATTTGGTCATGAGAGATTAAGAAAAACAATGCGTTTTAACTTTTAAAGGGAAGGGGGAAATGTTTGATGAACAATCCTAAAATTGAATTGAAAGAAAAGAAATAGTATGCACTAGATGAAGAGTTAAATTGAATTTAATACACAGATATGGCCGCCTTTTCATGGTTTGTACACCCCAATGTATCAGCCGCGTAGTCTTGTAC